CTCCTCCTCCTCCTCCTCCTCCTCCTCCTCTCCCCGCCTCCCGTCCCGCCCATGTGGATGGGGCAGAGGGGAGGAGGAGCATGGGGGCCCGACAGGGCGAGCGCAGACCTCGATGGACCTGCGTTCCTTGGCATGGCTCGCCTCCTCGCCAACGTCGCCGCCGTCGTCCGCCGTCGTCGTCGCCGTCGCCGTCGCCGTCGCGTCGCCGTCGCCGTTGCCGCTTCCGCCGCCGCCGCCACCGCCGCCGCCGTGGTTGTCGTCGTCGTCGTCGTCGTCGTCGTCGTCGTCGTCGTCGTCGCTGTCGTCGTTGTCGAGGACTGGGCCGATCGTCGCGCCCGCGGCCTGTGGGGCTCCAAGCTGCAGCCCGGTCGGCGAGTCCTCTCTCGGCCATGCGGTGGGGAAGGGGGTGGAGGGGACGGGGGAGGAGAAGGGGCGAGGAGGAGCAGCAGGAGGAGGAAATGGGCAGGAGGAGGAGGAGGAGGAGGAATAATAGTATTTGTAAGTGATATACATATGACGGGGGACCGGGTCTGGGGGCCGGGGGCCGGGACCCCGACCACAAATGTATGGCCCGGGGCCCAGGCCCGCCTCTGGGAGGCTTAAAATCGCTCCGGGGAGCCCTCAGACAGCAATCCCAGCGGCCCCAGGCGGTCTCGAGACACCCCCAAGACGACGTCCAGGGGTCTCCGTCGACGCACGATGTGTTTAAATTGCCCCGGAGGCCCCCAAGACGCCCCAAGAGGCCTTTGAGATGCCGCCGAAGAGCGCCCCGAAAGGGGCAAAATCGTTGTTTTCCATTGTTTTTTGTTTAATGTTTTTTTGCATTCTCGCTGTTTCGTGTTTCCGGCGCTAAAGCACCGCCCTAGAGGCTCCCCAAACCGCTCCAAGACGGCCCAAGAGGCCCCCAAGAGGGCCCAAAGACGGCCCGAGAGAGCCCCGAGACGGCCCCAGAGCCGCCCAAGACGGCGCAAGAGGGTCCCAAGAAGGCCCCAAGAGGGGCCCAAGAGAGGGAACGCGAACTGAAAACTCAAGCTCTCCGCCCCAAGATGCCACCAAGAGGTCCCAAGATGCCCCCAGGAAGCCCCCAAGAGACCCCAAGAGGCCCCCAAGAGGCCCCAAGAGGCCCCCAAGAGGCCCCAAGAGGCCCCCAAGAAGCCCAAAAGAGGCTCCAAGAGGCCCCAAGACGGCACCCAAAAGGCTTCAGAACTCTTTCTAAGAGGCCCCCGAAGACATGCCAAGAAGGTCCCATGACGACTTCAAGAAGCAGTCCAGGATGCTCCGAGGAATCCCAAGAAGCTAGCTAGAACTTGAGCGCGCGCAAAGCGCGCACGATGGATCTAGTAATCAAACAAGCGAATGGTGATTCTACGAATCACAACTAGTCAGTCTTACATTAATAGTAATACTGATACGAGTCATACTAGCACTACTGCTACTACTGCTACTGCTACTGCTACTGCTACTACTACTACTACTATTATTACTACTACTATACTACTACTACTACTACTACTACTACTACTACGACTACTACTAGTATCACTACTACTACTACTACTACTACTACTACTACTACTAGTACTAGTACTAGTACTACTACTACTACTACTACTACTACTACTACTACTACTATTGCTGCTAAAACTCTTATTTCTACTACTACTACTACTACTACTGCTACTATTGCTACTGCTACTTCTACTGCTACTACTACGACTACTACTACGACTACTACTACTAATAAAAATAATAATCCCACTGATACGACTACTACTGCTACGGCTATTACTGCTACTACTAGTAGTAGTAGTAGTAGTACTACTACGACTACTACTATTACTACTACTCGTACTACTACTCGTACTACTACGAGTACTACTACTACTACTACTACTACTACTACTACTACTACTACTACTACTACTACTACTACTACTATTACTACCACTACTACTACTATCTTCATTCCTGCTACGACTACCTACTACTACTACTACTACTACTGCTACTACTATTACTAATACTGCAACCCTCTGCAACTACTACTACAACTACTACTTCTACTAGTATTACAACAACAACTACTACTACTAGTAGTACCTACTACTACTACTACTACTACTACTACCACTACTAATACGAAGACTA